GCCACAACGATTGACTAATCGAGTTATTATGCCTAATTAAATTAAGTCCTGGCATTAGGGTTTCTGCTGAATTCAACCCTAAATGAAATTACCTGCAGACATGGGAGAGTTATGGGTAATAAAGGAATCTGAATGACCATGAATCATTTGTTTTTTAATCAGAGACAAAATGCATAGCCTTCATTTAGATAACCTTAGGGGAACCAGCATGTGCAACCGTCTTATGCAACCAGTGGTGAAGATGCCAAACCGCATACTGGCTGCACGATATTGGAAAAGTCTGACATTGCGATATTTTGTTTTTCTTCAATAAATATTGCGATATGAATATAATTTGACCAGAAATAAAGAAATCATTTATTAGGATTGTGGGTGTGAATCATGTATAAAAAATAAACAAATTGCAAGTCAAAAATAATTACAAGAGCAACGAAAAAAGTCAAATAAACTGCGCTTAATGGTTTTCCCGAAAGTCAAACAGTATTCAGGTATGGAAGTTATAATGTAAGTATAATGAGAAATAACGCTGTAAAGTCTTCATTGTATTAATTGAGTAAAATCATTTCTCAATAAAGTTACAATTGTTTTCACAAGTTACTGCCTTAAACTATTGAAATGCCTTGCAAATTTGACTCTGTTGTTTATACTTTGCAATGACTCCACAAATCTAATGCATTCTCAACTGTTGTGGTGATCAACTATAATCCCAACTCAACATTGCATATGTGATGTGACTATTGAAGACACACGAATTGCGATATCAATGCTGAAACATTGTATTGTGCAGCCCTACCCATACACATTTACGATTATAGGTAAAAGCATGTAACATGGTCTGTCTGAATACTCAATTCTGACTGACTGGAAATTCCAGTTAATTTATCCACTGGCCTGTATTTAATTTACATTACATCATTTGGTAGACATTTATCCAAAGCAACAAATAAAAACAATTAAAAAAATAAATTACAACAACTAAAGAACAGAAATATGACAGTGCATAGTAAGTCCAATGCAAACAGATCAAAGAACCAAAATTTCCAAAAGGACAAGTTCACAAAGCAGAAAATTCCCCGTAATTGACACACCCTCAGCCTCGGCTGGGTCAGTTGGCATTTCTGTGTGGAGTTTGCATGTTCTCCCCATGTTCGCATGGGTTTCCTCCGGCTGCTCCGGTTTCCCCCACAAGTCTAAAGACATGCGACATAGGTGAATTGGGTAAGCTTAATTGCCCGTAGTGTATTTGTGTGAATAAGAGTGCATGGAAGTTTCCCAGTGATGGGTTGCACCTGGAAGAGCATCCGCTGCGTAAAAGCATGCTGGATAAGTTGGCAGTTCATTAAGCTGTGGCGACCCAATATTAATAAAGTAAGATGAAAAGAAAATGAATGAATGAATGAATGAATGACACACCCTCAAAAAACACAGAATTATGTTACTAATATCTAGACATTTCCTAGTTTGCATTAAAGGCTTCTTCAAAAAAATCCAGTGATGATGCACTACACTACAAAAGTCTTGTTACCTATTCAAGTTTTAGGAACAATAAATAATAACTTGACTTCTAGTTGATCATTTGGTATCAGAATAAGCTCTATTAGCTATGGCTTATTTTACCAAAATAAAATATGATTTGTAATTTTTTTAATTAGGACAGTAAGGTCTGACTTCGCTTAGATAAGTCTAAGTCATGTGACAGAAATAATGTAAAGTATAGAATATAAAGTTATGGTGAAGTGGAAAAGAATCAATATTGTTTCACTAATATAACTTCCATGAGGTTGGACAACTGCATCCTTACATTTCTGCAGTGACTCAGAGATCTTGTGAATGTAGTCATCTGGAACGGCAAAGAAAGCGTTCTTGCAGGACTCCCAGAGTTCATCAAGATTCTCTGGATTCATCTTCAATGCCTCCCTTCATCTTACCCCAGACATGCTCAATAATGTTTATGTCTGGTGATTGGGCTGGCCGGTCCTGAATCACCTTGACCTTTGCTTTCAGGAACTTTGATGTGGAGGCTGAAGTATGAGAAGGAGAGCTTGTTGAAGAATTTGTCCTCTCCTGTGGTTTGTAATGTAATGGGCAGCACAAATGTCTTGATTACTGTATGTAATCCCAAACCATGATTTTTTCCTTAACCAAACTTGACTGATTTCTATGAGAATTATGGGTCCATGCAGGTTCCAATAGATCTTCTGCAGTATTTGTGATGATTGGGATGCAGTTTAACAGATGTTTCATCGGAACAATCTACATTCTGTCACTTTTCCAAATGATCAACTAGAAGTCAAGTTATTATTTGTTGCTCTTACAACTGGGATCGACATCAAGACTTTTGTCAGGTAGTGTAGTTCTTGTAATTATAAAAATGTATATTATTCTTACAAAAACCAATTGCTTTACTTCAGAATAATAACATTTAATAACTGTGATGTTATTATGAAAACTTCATTTTTTTGTAATTACACTGCATATAGCATATCCAGTTCAGTTAATTCCTTACCCATGTATAGTAAATTAATAGCTATAATAAAAGTCTTTTTTTCCTTGAAAAAACTTCCCAACTACTATACCTCATGCATACCCTAATTAACCAACATTGAATCAAAATCGGCGACACGATGGCTCAGTGGTTAGCACTGTCACCTCACGAGAAGGTCGCTGGTTCAATTTCCGGCTGGACCAGTTGCCATTTCTGTGTGGAGTTTGCATGTTCTCCCCGTGTTGCCGTGGGTTTCATCCAGGTGCTCCAGTTTCCCCCACATTCTAAAGACATGCAGTTTCCCAGTACTGGGTTGCAGCTGGAAGGGCATCCGCTGAGTAAAACATATGCTGAATAAGTTGGCGGTTCATTCCACTGTGGTGACCCCTGATGAATAAAGGAACTAATATCCGAAGGAATATAAATGGATCAATCAAAATCATACTTAAATCGAATGACAACTTTGTGAATCAAAATCAGTTTGTAAAGGTTGCATACAGCCTGACCAAATATACAACGTTTATTTAAATGTGTCCAAATGAAGAGCAGAAGACGACAGAAGGCAAGTTCACATACTAACTCGCTTTTATTAATACAGAACTGCATGCTACAGAGACTGTACAGCATTAACATTTATTCATTACAAAAACATGGTTTTTGGGAACCATTTAAAATAATGGAAAACAAAACGAAAAAAAAAAACAAACAAAACAAAACAAAATAAAAAACAAAACGAAATAAAAACAAATCAAAATAAAATATAAGAGCATAAAAGAGAACAGGAACATCACAGCCGTTAAGGAAACATTCAAACTATTCATCATTAGCATCTTAATAAACCAGAGAAGTTATCGACGGGTTACAGTTGCGTCATGTCAACTACAATGGCACCGAATGAATGATTCTCTTGTAGCTTTTTTACAGCTTCTTGCAACATCAACATGCCTATTTTTTCTATCTACCTATATGTAGTAGTGTACTTAAAAGTGGCAGTTTGTGTTTTTTTTGTAGTATTTAATAGTTTTTTATGAACCTCCTAATATACATAATTTGGCCCTTGAGGGTTTATACAGTATGACGTCCGTCTTTTATTAAGTTTAAATTTAATTATTTGACAATCTGCTACCAAACACATTTGTTATAGCAACATTTATACTACATACATAGCAATCTATGTAACGTCACAGCAAATTATGGTTGAAAGAAAATAAAAAAACAAACATCAGACAACGAAAGAACCTACAGCGTCATAAGAGGTGGAGAGGAAATTATCACAAATTTTGGCACGGGAAAAAATCTGTACACGATTCTACAGTCCGGCGGAGATGAGACTGTGCAATAGAAAAGAAGGGCTTGAGACGAAATTCTATACTGAAGACATGGAACCCACCGTCCGCGTTTCAAGTTTCCTTTTCACCTATTGTAAAATGGCTTATAGATATGTTTCTAGAAATTAAGTTGTGCATACGTCTGTTCGTTGTTGTTTTTGTTCTGTTTTTTGTTTGTTTGTTTTTTTTAGCTTTTTTTGTAGCTTTTTTTGAGAATCTACACTGTAGTTTAGGTGAATCCTGGTTTTCAACAAAATAGCAAAAAAATAAAAATCAAATAAAATTCATGTCAAAACAATAAAACATTTGAAACTTCAAAACCTCCTTGTAAAAATGGATCATTTATATATATATTTATATAAGTTGCTTACGTTAAGAAAAAGAATATTTTTACAATGTATTAAGAAAACAAAAAGATTTCAAAAAGGGACAACATACAAGATACAACAAGCAATCTCTAAAGCAATAAATACTACTGGTCCTAGCATTGTGACAGTTTGTATTGAATATCCCAAACCCCCCCACCCCGTCCCACCCCACGCAAAACACCCCTCCAATTGAGTCCACCCACCCCAACCCGAGTCAACCTCCCTCCCCCTGGTAAACAACGACAAAAAATAAAAATAAAACGAACAACGCAATGGAACAATGCATATTAATACACAGTAACCCCCCGTATTTCTGTACATTTAAACAAGAACAAGTAACATCACAATTAAAGTTGTTCCTCAGTCGGAGAGGTGTCTCCGCGGTCCTCGTGCCCTCTGAGTTTTGGACAGCTGTAAAATGATTGGTTCACAAGCTCGTATTTAATACAAATAATGAAGGAGAACCAATTCTTTGAGAAAAGGGCTCACTGAATCCTCACCTACTTTGTATATCTGTCTTTAAACATGTCTATGTAAAACTACATAACTGTTATGCATTTTCTGTTGTACAGCTGAAAAATAAAACGCAAAAATGAGGAAAAACGAACCCCCCAGAAAAAAAAAATCATAAAAAATTTGGCAGATTCACAAAGCTATACTCTGCAACTTAGTGTATTTAATTATCAATATTTAATCATAATAATTTCTTTTTTTTAGATAATGACAGGTCAAATATTGACCAATGAACTTTGATAAAGAATTAACAAAATTTTCAAAGCCATATCGCACAAAAACAGAACACAAAATGGAAAAAGACGCGCGACAGACATACAGACAGACAGACAGAGAAAGCGGGTTTTAAAAGAAGACAACAAAGCTAGTCTATTGACTTGGTTACGAGCGAAAGGGGTTGCGTCGGGGCGGAGCTGGGCAGCAGAGAGTGGGAATGACACGCAGATATGGGCCTGGAGGAGGCGGAGCCTGTGGATCGGGACGACGACACGTCTGAGGGGTCCAAAGAACCGTTGTGTGCCGAGCCGGACGTTTTGCCCGCCCCGGAGTTGTCCAACAGTGCTAAGGGTGGAGGTGGAGCCATGGAGAGGTGTTGGTGTTGGGATGACGATAACAGGGGAGGAGGTTTCATAGTCAGTGAGAGAGGTTGCATTTGTTCAGTCTGTGGTTTGGACTCTTTCGAAGACGGGGAGGGAGAAATCATGGAGGGGGAGGATGGGGGGGACTCTAGTAAGCTTCCGTCCGAAGAGGGAGGACTGGCACAGCTGCCTTCACCTTGAATGTAGCGAATGCACTTCTTTTTTCTCCTAAAAAAACAAAGAGAAAGAAGCAACATGTTGAAGCTCTCAGTCTCAACTCTCAGTGATCCATACAGAGCCGTAACGTCCATTTAAATGCACATATCTTAAAGTCGGGACACCCATTGCTGATCTCATTAGCAACTTTTGGCGGACCCGCTTTTAGACTCACTTGCATGAAAATGGACGCTAGAGCTGGTCGAGATTAGACATCTCGCTGTCACACGATTACATGCAGAGAGGACAGGACAGTAGAAGGACGAGAAGAAGACAAACAGACGGAATGAGGATGATGAAAGAGGTGAGGCCTACATCTCTCTTTGTTTTCCTTCGGCAGCGCAACGCAACTCCAAACAAAAGAACTCCACCCCGGTTTCGCAAACCGCGAGGGGATCCATCCGGTTTACACATCAGTTTGAATTATTACACTCCTCTTTCTCCCTTCTTTTTTCCTGTCTTTTTCCTTGCGTTCCTTCAGGGGAAGTTCAGATGGTGGGGTAAGAGGTTAGAGAGGAAGCGCTACTCTCAGCTTGCCCCTAAGACATGTGTGTGAGCGCTCTGCACAGAGGTCGTGGTGCCATGTTTGCATTTCTGCTCAGGTCAGGACCCTCCCTCGTCTGCTACGCCTACGGCCAGCCATTCCAGCCAGCCACATCTCACCAGCGCCAAGCCAGCACGCCGTGAGGTAGGGGTAGCAAGAGAGAGAGACGAGATCCGATAGGGTGAGAGAAAGCGAAAGAAACTGAGACGGCGGGAAAACCTCAGTGTACCTTGCCCTACCTGACCTGACCAACCCCCCCTTTCCTCCCCAAAAAACTCTCTTTATCCTGCCTAAAGGGCGAGCTCAGTGATGCAGCCGAGGCTAACTCCAAAAGAGAAAAGAAAGAGCAACAAATACAGAGAGTAAAATAAAAGGGAATCAAATCAAAGCCAGGGGGAGCCAGAGAGTTGCGGGAGAACCGGGTTCAATTAACCGGCATTTTCTTTGTGGAAATAACAGCCAGGTAAGGATTGTTTCTCAAGTCATACCCCTGCCTGCTCTTATGCGTGTTGGTTTCAGACGAAAGTGCGAAAAAGACAGAGAGACAGTCAGGGAGGTAGATACACACTGTGATGAAGAAAAATGGGGGGCTAAAATCTCGTCACGGCCATTAAAACCCACTGGGTTTATGGTGGGTATGCACAACGCACAACATGCAACTGGACGAATCTGCACATAACACACTTAAAACATGGGCGATGTGGCACTCAAGGGGTCAAAGATAAGCGAACAGAGGCAGAGATGTTCATACGATCTGTCCCGTACTCTAGCCTGTGCCGTACTAGGCCAAACAGCTACATAAACGCAGCTTAAGTGGAGGACGGTCACGAATTTAGGATGGGTTTGGGTGTCAAGGTATTAACTGCCTGTCAAACAGCGCAAATAAGCTAATATCCATTTTTTAAAAGTCATATTGATTCTAAGTATATCCCTGTGTTCCTTATTGATTTATGGGCCTCTGAGGGAATTTCACCAGATGCATCTTTCAGGAAACAGAGCTGAATAGGGTCTTTTAACCTTCCAGCTCCCTAAATCAAGACACAATTACCAGCGTCTCTCTGAGCAGAGCTGAAAAAAAAAAAAAGCTGTTCACTCTGAATGAGAGGTGCTCATGAGTGGCACTACACCTCAAAAATAAAACCTCATCAACTACACACACACACATGGGCCAAAGAGTCAAATGTGCAGCAGTACTACTAAATGCCATTTTAGGAAACACCTTTTGAAAATCATGGTATTTTGTACGATTATTACACTGTAAAACCTGATAAGTAATGTTAACTCAGATTGTTTGAGGAAATTGATTGCGGCAAACCATTAAAGATTTAAAACAAAATGGTTTGAGTACTGTAAACTATATGACTATGACTATATAGAGAATCTTTTACACATATATTATTTGTGTTGATAATTTGTGTTGTCAAACTTTTAGAGTATTAATAACTTAAACTTTTTAAGTTCAGTTATCAAATTGCAATGAGTTCAACAACTTAAGTTCAAACAACTATATAGCTACCAAAATGGTTTAGTATTGCTTCTAGTATTAAGAGTTAATTAATTAATTAATTCAAAACTCATTCGTTTTGAGTTCTGCTTAATATAATCCATTCATGAGTTACAATAACTTTTTTGTTAAGTCAAAATTCTAAGTTAAACTAACTTATTTCATTTAGTGATTTTGACTGTTAGGATTTTACAGTGTATTATTTGGTCGAAACAAAATTTAATGTACAAAAAAAGACACTCAATTGCTTTTTCTGCTTGATCTCTTCCATCTTTAAATGTATTAATTTAAATATTAAAATGTTCATTTTGGAAAAACGCATCCACCAACACGCAGATTCCCATATACTGTAAACCTGAGAATTTTTCTGTCTTTCCAGAAAAAGATCTAACTAGTGGGAGTGAATTTAGAAAAATCTGACAGATTTCTAAACTAGCAAGAATAATGAAATCGGTGGAACAGCCAAGTAGAAAATGGACATTGGAGTATCACAAAAGCACAATGTCTGATGTCCACGATGAGGGAGAAGTGAAAAGTAGAAAGTGCACAAGCATGACACAGAAAAGGGTATTACTTAACAGAAACAAATACCTACCATCAACATATTCCCAATTCAAAGACTGCTTGTATTAGAACAGAAAGACAAGAGGTTGGGACTGAATAAAGGGTTATAAGAGAGGAGTGGAGAAGGAAGAAGAAGAAGAAGGGGAGGAAAAAAAAGAGAGGAGGGATGAGATGGCATCACCCCAACTCTATCCTCCACATAACATGTGGCTACATCACACAGTTCTAACCAGGGCAGAACAGTACAAAACAGCAAGTTAGTTCCTTGGGCAGAAAAAAACAGCAATACTAATGTAGAAACATAATACTTGAGTTGACTTGTAACCCCAACAGAGCACAACATTCAGGATCTTTAACAATCAGGTGTTTAAGAATAACTATTAAACCCTTAAGAGACAGATGTATTATCAATTGTTTAACAATATTATTCGTGTGGAAAAACGACATTACCAATAGATAATATACATAAATCCTACCAATTATTCGCAACAACAAAAACCTTAAAAGACATCTGTAGCTTCGCCCACTCCCACAAAGCACTACAAATGATCAAATAAAGTCTTCATAGATTTAAAAAAAAAATGAATATTTGGTTGCATGTTTTGCTAAATATATTTTCTAACATTAGAATTCACTGTTGTTTTTAAATGTAATTGTGATTCACAATGCTTTGTGGGATTGTCGTTTTTGCCTCTGTAAGTTTGTAATGTTGCGATTCACTTCGTAGTTGGTTGATTTGGCTCATGTCTTCTAAAACTTTAACTAAGATATTTTAAATTCCCTGTGGGGAAAAAATATATATAAGAAAATGCCTCCTGAACCTGAGTAGCTGAAAAAAATGAACGGCCACTATTGCTTTTGTAATTGATTTTTTCTGTCATTTTCTGCCCGAGGATTTGTTCATCTGAACTCTAAAGTCAGAAAAAGACAGAAACTAGTCAGAAAGAAGTCTTTGTAAAGATATAAAGTGAAACAAGGCCTTGGAGATTGAAGCAGGAAAACATAATCCATGGAAAAAGTGTCGAGAGGAGAAAAAAAGATTTTTTTTTGTCATCTTCAAATCATTATCACCCTAATTTAGGCGTTCTCCCCAAGAGTGGGGCTGGGAATATACCTGCAGGGTTTGCACCATAAACCCAGCTGGTCAAGCCCGAACAAGGCACGACACTTCTTAGGGGTATTTGCATCTGTTATCCATAGAGGAACATAAAAACACAACAAAAAAAGAAAAGGAACATGTCATTGAACACAAAAAGGCATGGAGCTAGAGCAAATGATTCAGCTGTGGACACTGGTACCATGCCTCCCCAAAAAACTTACCATGACCAGCTCATCTCAACCCTGCCCTGGCCACACCCCACCCTCTTAACAGAGGGAAATAAACCCCGCCTTCTCATTTAACTCCACCTCATTTCACACACTCTCACACAAAAAGAACCACACAAATGTACCTTTCGCCCAACCTAGCAAAGAAAAACAAACCCATCGCCCAGATTTGCAGAAGCTGATTGGCAGAGGAAGTGGCGTGGACAGAATGCAAGTTTGAGAGAGCCAGAAAAGTGGGAGGAGGTACCAATGAGAGAGTTCCCCAGCTGTCACCTGCTCTAGCTCACCTGCCGGCACACCAGATACACACCTGCATGGGCCACACCAGTTATTCTGCTGGTCGAGCCCGAAGCGTGCGCGACACTTCTTTGGGGCGCTCAGATCTGACGGGACGAAGAAAGGAAGACGAAGCCAGCAGTAGAAAAGAGAGTGGAAAGAGAGATCAATTGAATCCAATGAATCTGACTATTCCCCCTACAGACAATTTGAACTGGTAGCAATCAAATGTGCAGCAATAGGCTTTACAGATGCATTTAACTGTCTTTTGTTAGTAATACAAAGTAACAAAAAAAGTAAATGAATGGACAGAAATCAAATCAGCACACAATGCATGCCTTTCAGAAACAAGGCTTTTACATGAATAAATGCTCATTTGTTAAAAGGTACAGTTAGCAGGGTGGGATGCAGCAGATATGGATACATGTCTGCTGGGAATTAATTGGCTTTTCTAGACTAGAGGAGGTGATAGGGACAGGTTGCTGAGGTAGCAGTAGCAGGGAGGAGCTAAAGGAAGGAGGCGGAGCATTAGTGTAAGCCAGGTAAGCACTACAAAGCTGCTTCAATCAGGCCTGGCCCACATTCATCCACCTGAGCAGCTATAAGTAGACTGGTGTTTGAGGAGGGTGAAGGCAGGTCGTAAGCAGAAGAAGAAACTCATGCTGGGCCATGAAGAAGGCAGCTACTGAAGACTGTAGATTAAGGAGGTTTACCCTGATAACAACATCTCTGGTTATTCTGAGCATAAAGAAGTTTGTCCTATGAACATACTGCAGCTGCATGCTTAGAGTTTACCAAATTGGGGCTTTTTTTACATGACTTTTAACATAGAAGCATCTTTTGATGATAGTACAGAATGTGGACAATGGAGCAAAGGAAACAACTGAAAAATGAGCAAAACAAAACTCTTTAAGAGAATTACTGAGCTTTGCAAATAAAAGAGCGAACATGTGTGAACATGTAGCATTATTCATTATTAAAGATCAAATGATATACTGCACAAGCACAAATAAATAAATACACAAAGAACTAAAATAAAAAGGGGGGAAAAAGCAAGTTAGTAATTTAAGACTCAAAATGACATTAGCACCTGTAATCGGAGGGAGTGAAAGGCAAGGGTTTGGAAAATATTCTCTGTGTTCTGGAAAAAAAAAAGAACAAGATACAGAGGCCTTCAAAAGGTGTCCATGATGGAGAGAGACCGCAAATACATTACTCTGCATTCGTCCTGGACAATATATATATATCTCACAGTAATCAGCATCATAAAGAAGAACAGTAATGTGAATCAACGTAACCAGCAAACCTCCTTAATTGAAAGATGTGGGTAAAATTAAAAACAAACAAAAACCTTTTATACATATTATCACTATATAAACACACACACACACACACACACACACACATATATATGTATCAGAGCATGCAGCAGGCACGGCCCAAAGTTACGACCACATAAGCACAGTGACACAAGCATGGGCGGCACATTCAGAGGCTGGCAATCAGTCACAAGTGTGATTAACGCTCACACTCTCAAAACATACATATCACAGTACAATAAATGCTGGAGGGGGGCAGGGCAAAGGGGTGGGGGGGCCAGCTGGTGGGAGGGGAGGAGGTGGGGGGTCATGCATATTCAATGTTATTAATGCTCGACATGGGGCAAGGGGAGGGGAAGGGGATAACAAGCAGTCTATCGTGTAAATATTGCATTGGGTAGCATAGCTATATACAAAATGAGGCAGGCACAAAAAAGAGATTAAAAAAAAAAGGCTGGACTTTCATCTTTGAGATGTCACACTTGTGACAGATGATGGGTCTGCTTTAATATGAGAGATAATTGCAGCACACTTACCATTGCCCTCTCCTGCCTGCTTTTCCCTTTTTCTCTTCTTCTTTTTCCCCTGATAGTTACCCGCCAGAAAAGAGAAATAGACAGGAACATTAGTTATTATACTGCAAAAAAGACCAAGACATGAAATGAACAAGAGAGCCCAATGTTTTTACTGATTTATTTATTCATGCAACAGCCTGAAGGTTCGAGCTGCCACTGCAGGACAGAACAGAACTTTCCCTATCTTTCCCTTCGTCCTATTTCTCTTCTTTTGTTTATTCCTTGTTGTCTCGCTGCTTAGTTTTCCTTTCTTTGTGAAACGATTGGAAGCTCTTGAGGTTTCTTTGAACAGCTCGGTTTACTGGAGGGGGGAGAGCGGAGAAGGAGAACTTCTGTTGCGTTAGTCCTTTCTCGAAAACGATGCTGATTGCGCCGAGGCCGAGGTCAAGTCCGAGCAGAGCGATCAGCTTGCTCCGTTTGAGGAACTTTGACTAGGAGAGTCAAGACACGTGGTCAGACTCCAAGGAGAGTTGACAGGCTGGGCGGTGGGGCCGTTTGTCAGGCGCAAAACTCCAGCGAAACAGTAAACGGTGCGCTCATTCCACATTTCTGCCGGCGGAGAGCGATGTCCTCTTTCATCAAAGCTACGAGGCGTTTAGGCCCTGTGGTTATTTAATTACTCTGATCTCAGCTCGCCTTTCTCTTTTTAGGTGAACCAGTGGAATACTAATGAAAGCAGAGGAAAATCGCACAGCACAGATCTGAGGGAAAGCGCATGTACAGTCAACTGACGGAAAATTTTGTCTTCCAGCAGCTAAACCGGTCAAGAACAGCCAGCCACATGTGCTTTAGCTTCCTCCTAAGGCTGTTTGTCATGATTTGTATACGCATCTGCATGGGCTTAAATGTGACCCCCTAGGGAAGGAATCCAGATTGTTACATGTTGAAAACTTAAAAACTTACATAGTTGTCTCGTGCCGACCAGCCGGGGTACAGCTGCATGTGAAGCTGTCGTTCTTTCCTGGCTAATTCGTAGTATTTGGCCTGCTCCTCTCGTGACAGAGCGTGCCACTGTACACAGAGAAACACACAGACATCCATCAAATCCACAGCCATTACAGAGATATTGATATTTAAAGGGATAGTTCACTCAAAAATGAAAAGTCTGAGAGAAAAAGAAATATATAAATGTTTGGAACCACTTGAGGGAGAGTAAATAGTGAGTAAATTTTAATTGTTGAGTGAACTTGGGGTTTCCAACCACCATGAGTTAAAAAATGTCCTCTTGATCTGGGGTATACAGCAATCTGTGGTCTTAGAAGTATGAGATGGCCTTCTGCTACAGTAGTTTGGCCCAGTAGTGTGTGACACTCACCCTTCGGCCTAGGATCTGGTTGATAGCTGCGCTCTCTTTCAGTGTGCACTCCGCCACCACTTTGGCTCTCATTTCCTTCATATAAAGCATGAACGCGTTCAGAGGTTTCTTTATGTGCGGCTGCTTCTTCTTTTCCTCCTCCTTTTTCGCATCCTGATGTTTCCTGCAAATGAGAAGGAGGCGATTTTAATGTTTGCATAACATCTTTTGGTGCTATTTGGATTGATAGTGAGTTGGAAAGTGAACTCACGAGCTGTTGAGGGATCCGATGTCACTGTGAGACGACTCTTGCTTGACGTTGGGTGTGACGATGGCGGGGTGGGGGATCCCTGTGGTGTGCAAACTGTGGTGAGGGGGCACCATGTGAGGAGGGAACCTGGAGGAGAGAAGACTGTGTAAATCGTCAGAGTGGACACGGGTGAAATGATGGATGGACACACACATTCACAAAGCAAACACTTGACACATCACAGTGACTATAAATAGAAAGTAACAGCAATCTAATACATCTGTTATGTGAGAGAAGGGAAATGGCGATGACAAATTGTAGATCTAGAACCAGCACAACATGGATTGAAAAGCATTTTAAGGGGCTTATGATTTCTGCTATGTAGAAAATGAAGGCGGAATCACAAAGTCTGGTCTTAAAAACACTATATACGGTTTAAAACAAGAGGTCCAGGAGATTCAGCACATTTTTTCATTCATTGTAAATGAATGATGCACATTTGTCTACTACAAGCAAATGTTGTTCAAGGTGTGCTGTGTGGTGTTTTTTATTGTCTGCTATGTGGCTTAATCTGCTTGTTAAGTGTGATGTCACGCGAAGCGGCTTCCGGGCCCAATCGTTATATCACACTGTATAGGGAGACTCATCTAATGGTAATAATAAACGTTTACAAAACGTTTACTTTCGAAAATCATGTTATATATATTTATGCCAATAACTAATATCCGACAGCCAGAAGAAAGTGATTAATCTTTTATAAACTGTTAAAATTTTGGTATTTGTGATGCAGCCAGTCCAGAGACTGATGTTATCAACATAAAATTCCCTTTAATGTGTGATATGACTAAAAAGTGGTCATAAACTAATATTTTCTCAATTCAAATAAGCAGTGGCTGGGACCCGGAAACAGTATTTCATATGTCACAAATACGTCAAGACTTAACAAGCAGATGGAGACATGAACTTTGAATGAATCTCCAGATATGCTCTGCGAGTCATTTTATGAGCGTTTTATTGGAGAAAATCTATCATCAAATCACATGCACATCAACCCATCCAACCACATGGTCTTGGTTTAAAAAATCATGTTATCTTTAATGTCAACATTTTTGGATTTAACTAAATCAAAAAAACTAGGCTACAATAATACTGGGTAATATTTTGTTCCACCCATGTGGCTTTGTTGACAACATTAAAGCAGAAATGCAATTGCAGGTGGAAACTGTGATTTAGGCCTGGGCGATTAATTGGAAAGTAATCAAAAATCGAGATTTAGAACCTATAATCAATCCAATTTTTCCAGGGTGATTTGTTTAATTGCATTCCCTCTGTTAAAGGCTGAGGCTGATTCATACTTCTGAGGCCACTTTGCAGTCAAATCTGTTCTCTGGTAAGATAGGACGATGGACCCATTTGCACTACATTGACGATAATTGGAAGCTACGCCAGAGATGCTATGCTATGACATGTTATGCATTACATTAAAATATTTGTTTACAGATGATGCAAGAAACGCACTGTTTAAAATAGTATTTACAGGATATATATTTTATTTAGAAGAAATACTTTTAATATGAAAAACATTGAAAATAATACATTTTGCTTCCAAAATATCAAGATATTCATTTTCAATTTTTATAAAGAAAAAAGTGACCGTTTTAGGCAATGTGTTGTTTACTTCAGTTGTTTAACATTGATGTTCAGTAAATAATCATAGAAAGTAGATACTGTGCATTTCCTTCAATTTTTTCAAATCAAGGCCCCTTCATTCAGAAATCTCTCACTTGTAATAAGTGAGCACATTTACTGTCCAAAACTTGTCAGTGAACTATGAGGGCAAAAAAAAAATAAAATAAATAAATTTTAAAAAAAAAATCATTAAATAATTAATCGTAATCGAGTTAAAATGTTCAATTGATCGAGATTTAGATTTTAGGCAAAATCGCTCAGCCCTACTGTGATTACACTTTAATAAATGAACAAGAAAACGTTTTTCTACAGAGCAACAAACATTAACAATTTGTTCCCAATAAAAAGTAAAAGTCAATTTAGATTTTTACTTTGTCTTTGACCTCTACATTTTCAATTTGACAATCATGGTACATAATTATTTCTTAATGCAATTTTTCCCCATCCACATCAATCCAAGTTAATTTAATGGTCGTGAAATTACATTCCAATTTCTTTAAACAAAATGGTTGATGAAACAACATGTGTATATATATATATATATATATATATATATATATATATATATATATATATATATATATCTGTGATCAAACTAAAAGGTTCAGATTCACAACAATATTCTGATTTGTCTATCCATTTCAGAAGTACTTCAGAAGGGTGGTCACTTTCTTTGCATTTATTTGCCATTTGATTATCTTCTCACAATGTAAACTAAAATGTTCTGATGAAAAAACTATATCTATAATACAGGGTTTCTGCAGGTTTCACCAAGCTAAATTTAGGACTTTGTAAGACATTTTTAGTACCATTATGACTTAAATCTTAGACTTATACAGGGCTAAATGCCAAGGATTTATATTTTCGAATATCCCAGTTGGAAAAGATTTTCACTTATCCTTTAAAAATTATTATTCTAACGTAACTGAAGTGATTATAACTTAATAATAATGCAATAATATGAATAATAAAAATATAGGTCAGGTCAGTATCCTCAGCAGTAAATAAATGGAGAATAAAAGGTTTATTTGAGATTGGGATTGTAGATGATTGCATGGGTGTTAATAGTCAGATTGGGTAGCTATACATAAACATAGAAAAATTAGGGCCTGTTTAAAAAATGTAAGACCTACAACACAATATTAAGACTTTTTAGGGTCTTACATTTATCTTTTGAGATCTACCCTGTAATATCATCCCTCTAGCAGTGTGTAAAGATCTATAGAAAAGAACAATAAATTCCAGAGAGTAAAAATGAACATATCTGTGTATGTGTGTGCGCAGCGTGTCCCAGCTGTGCGTGGCCGTACACAAATCTGAGCAAAAGAATGAAGGATGATGGAAAAAAAGAAAAGGAATAATTCTTTTTTTCAAACAGCTCATTATCTGCTTGAGTGTGGCTATATGGCTTGGAGCCAGAATATAATGATGAGCGTAAACTCACAAGGAACAACTAGTTTCTGTTGGAGGTTCTCTCTGGGGACTGTGTTTCCCCCCAATCTCTCTTCTCCTATTCTCTCTTCCCTTCATCCCTGACACATTTGTGTTTGTGCCATGTCATCCGGGCCGCTCGTCCGCTTCTACCGAGGGGGGACCGGGCTTGCATTGTGGCCGTGATCATTAGCCCCCACCTTTTTTTTTCGTTTCTCCTTCTGTCCTTGCATACTTGTTAAAATTTCCTCTGTTCCAGCATCCAATTTTTTCTCCTTTTCCTTCCTGACTGTCCCATCAGCGCCGCCCCCACCAGCGCCGCAGTTGCCATAGTGAGGCCCAGGTTATGGTTTAAACATGACGGCCATCCCTTTGAAGCGCAGGGCATCATTTCGCTCATCAGCACGCAGCAGAGCCTGCCACCAATTTAGCCCCGCTGAGGGAAGAGTGAGACAGAGAGGTGTGCCTAGAAGGGCCCCTGCAGGGTCCAATGTCTCAATCTTGCTCCACGCTAGCCGAGTGTCAGTGAGTGCCATTTAATTGCCAATCGGAGCGATGGCCTTGGCGCCTGTTTAATGTATAATGACCCCGCCGGTGCGCTCTGTCTGTCATCTGCTTTCTCTTCTTTTGTGGAAAAAGAAGGGATGGGAGCTGGAGGTGCGGATGGAGGTACATATCAAAGGCCAAGCATGGGCAGGGGCCAAGGGGCCTACACTTCCTCCCCCTGTCACCCGGGACGGCCGATACACCTGTACGACTCCAACCCCATTATCAAAACAATGTAGCTCATTTGCCGGATCCGAGTCTGCAGCGTTCATGCTCTGAAATGTATTTTTTAGGAGGCTGAAGTGGTACCTGGGTGAACAGCAGATCCCTACATGAAGTCTTGTGCGCTAACTGCATAATAAATGGCAGCAGAAAGGGCCATCAGTGCTGAAGACAGGCACTGGAGAGAAACATTTGGGCGTCTCTTAATCCCCGAGGCCTCCTGGAGGTGCCATCCACTGACTGAGAACGAAGACAAAGCAAGTTTCCCCTCTCTTTATTCGTAGAAAAGCCATAAACACAATTAATGAAGCCTTTTCCTGGCGCTCATTATTTCACGCAGGAGGCCGGTGACAGCGGACGCCGCCGGTTTTGACACAAACATGCTAAAGCACCTTCCCTCCGCAGAGACACAAGACCACCACTTATTAATCTATGCTAATTCAATTACAGATTATCAAAACGCATTAGCTCTTCCCCGGCACATCACCAATCCCCCTAGCCCCCATTCAGTAGATTCAATTAGCCTGCACTGGAAATAGGATGATCACAATATAAAGGCCTCATTAGGACAGAATCAGCTGTCACTTAAGCGAAGGTCCAGTGCCGGAGCTGCAGACCTGCACGGGCGCCTGATGGCTGAGCAGGCTCATTCCAGGCCGTTGGCAGGGTACAAACGACTCCTCTATGGAGGCGAGACCTCAAAACACACACAGCATGAAAGCTGTTGGTGTCAAATGTGTGAGGCCTTGGTTTCAGAGCCAGCTGTTAATAAAAATGGACCTTTAAGAGTCAGGACCAGCTGCAAAGACCCTGTGCTCATAAGCAGAGCAGCTGCCAATGCACTCTGATCATCGCTACAGAGCTAAATATTGTGTTTCAGAGCTGTTATGTTTGGCCTCACCACTTTAAACCGTGTGAGGATGATGAAAATATACTAGATACAAGTGTAGAAGTGGGCCTTGTTCACTCACGCAAGAAGAATTAATATAAATTAATTGATTGCAACCAATTTTTTGCTTTTACTTTTTAAAAACTTTTAGTAGGGGTGTCTTGATCAGGTTTTTTTGCCCACAAGTCCAAGTCATTTGATTTTGATTATCTACCGATACCGAAACTCGATGCAATAATTTTAATACATAAAAATAAATAAAGAAGAGCGAAGAAACAGAACCAGAATGTTCCTTACTTTTTATTTAATTCACCTTATTATAACATTCAACAACTCTGTTAACAAACAGAGCTCTTCTGTGAAGTAGCTCAAATAATCAAGTCATATAACATCAATTCTTCAACTATTGAAAACTCAAGTTTACATATCTCACTGTTTGCTATGGCAATGTTGTCCTCATCAACTTTATAATACCTCCAGACCGCAGACATACTCAGGTTGTTGCTCGATCAGATACGTTTGCGGCAGGAAGTTAATGAGAATTATTTATATTATTTATTAAATCTCACATTAATTGTATTCTAATATGTCTCAACTTGGTTTAAGATTCTGACAGTATGATAACTTTGGGTAAAAATATCATGGTTTCACAGTATTACGGTTTTGTAATTACTGCTCTAAATGTGTTTTTTTTTTAAATGTCTGGATAAAAAAACTCAACTTTTTTCCCCTTTGAAAACAATATAGTTTATTTTTTGAAAGATTTATAATATTTTGGAGCAGTAAACATGTCAGACTAAATAATTCAAGTGAATCATTGACTTCTGCTGTCTTCGTTAGTTTCAAAAACACAGATTTCTTTACAATTTGAAATTTAAAAATCTTTTCTGTCGGAGACACTGTTGTCCTTAAAGAAAAATTATCAAAAAAGTCTTACGCATACCTTAGGAATAGTATTCCAAATCATGGTATACCTTGAAAACGGTTACTGTCCCGTGTCTAACCCCAGCCCTAAACCTAACCGTCACAGTAACGGAAAACAGTGGTTGAACCAATTATTATTTGTTACTTATAACCCAATATTTTTTCTTTTTTTTAAGTTATGTGTTGCTGTTTCTGTGTGAAGTCAAGAAAGAGGTCTAACTCTGTCCTGATCGGGAGTTAACGGCCGATTCCAATCAAGTCCAAAACCGCGTGATCAGGCCCGATTTTCAATCACATGATCGATTTAGATATCCCTACTTTTTTGAAAAATGTTTTTTTTGCTCATTCATTCATTTTTTTTAGGCTTAGTCCCTTTATTTATCAGAGGTCGCCACAGTGGAATGAACCGCCAACTTGTTTTACATGTTTTACACAGCTGATGCCCTTCCAGCTGCAACCCATCACTAACAAACACCCATACGCACTTATTCACACACTTATAGTACGTTCAATTTTAGCATACCCAATTCACCTATAGCACATGTCTTTGGACTTGCGGGGGAAGCCGGAGCACCCGGAGGAAACCCACGCCAACACAGGGAGAACATGCAAACTCCACACAGAAATGCCAACTGACCCAGCCGAGGCTCGAACCAGCGACCTTCTTGCTGTGAGGCAATCGTGCTACCAACTGCGCCACCGCATTGTCTTGTTTTTCTCTCCAAAATATACTGCTCATTTGTCAGTCTATGAAAGACGAAATAAAATCTCTTTTTGCTTCACTTTTTCAAATAATTTACGGTAATTTAACTCTGACTCTACTCTAATGCTTGTTTTAAAATGACACAAAAATTGGTTTATAAAATATTTACCAAAAATGCATGTAATTTACACATTCACTTGTGTTGCACAAATGTGTCCTAATGATTGATCACGGTACATATCCAAATGTGCTGAACAGAAACAAGTGAAGTATCCTCTCCAAGGCTTAAAAGGCCAGCGTTTACAAACCCCTCCCCACTCCTCCTGCTCCTCCGCTCACATTTATCCATCAACGTCCTCTGGTCTAAACTCGCCAGGCCTCCAGAGCTGCTTTTCCAATCAGGCTGCAATTAAACAGGACTTTGTCCCTGTCTGGAGACTCAGGCTGGGCTTGAGTTGGTCTCTATTTCTCGAAACTATAAACCAGATCTGCCTCTGTGCCTCTCTGGCTTGTCTCACCACCACCACCATCATCATCATCATCTTCACATTCATCATCATTGTGAAAAGAGTATCATATGCTTCAGATTATGAAGAAAAAGCAGGGTAAATGCAGAAAAAGGTGACCACCATATGAAGCGGCTTGCCTGTGCTGCGTCTCACTTTTGTGTTTGACATAAAAAAGCAACAAAGCAAACAGTGATTTGTCATCTACAACAAACACCTCCCACTTCTCACATAACAGATGAGTAACAGGCACAAGGGAGCAATTGCTGTGACAGTTAAAACAAACATACGCTCACACACATATCCCACAAACCCCCCCCATATACACACACAACCATTAGTGCTCTCCTGGGGACGTTTGCTTCCAAATCGCCACTTGAACCAGACCCCAATCCCCACAAAGCTCTCGCTCACAGTCCAAACGACACCCCCCGGAAAATGTGCAGTCATTTTTTTATTTACTTCAGTATCGGATGGTGGATAAATGGCAGCGAGGATATTTACAGTCCTCGCGTTCTCCCCCATTCAGTCGGGGTAAACGTTCTTCAGGGGTCTCATTATAAAATGATAACAATAATTAATATTTTAATATGTAGCTGATCGCATGGGAGCGTCTTTTTGAACAGCGAGACGAGAGCTGTCTCTCCTTAAGGGAGAAGTTTGACATGCAAGTCGGCCGTCCCAAGGCTCAACTCACCTTGACATGGACGCATTGACAGTGAGGGCAGTGGGGTAGGGGTGTCTGAAACCTCCCGTCGTGATTGGGTAAACTGGTTGACCTTGCCTAGGAAAAGAAGAAAGGAAGAGAGGTAAAGGAAAGGATGAAAAAGCACTCTCTATGCAGGCGGCTTTATTCTCATTTGATCAGAACAAAAATCTAGGGGATTGCAGAGCGCAGATCAAAGGCAAGCAAACTCTGAACAATTTGAATGCCACAAATCTGATAGGAATGGCTAATTAAATTTCATAACCCCGCGCTTGGTGTCGATGGAGGCCCCTCTCCCTGAGCTGAAACTAGGTGTTTTGTTGTGCTAATTAAAGACGAAGCACCGGCCCCTTTAATGGAGCCATCACGCTAATTGAGGTCTACACATCCAAAGACAAACAATAATGAATGTAAATTTATACCAAAATAAAGTGCAGAGAATCAAAGGGCCGTGGCTGCGCTTGGGGCCTCTCTCGGTATTTAGATCGCGGTGAGAAAACATTAAATTAACAGAGCTTAATTTGTAGCCTTTTGTCATATTAACAAGTGTTGACAAGAGTTACCAGGGGAGAGCCCCCGTGTGGAATTGTGGGTAAAATACTGGCAATCACAGTTCATTACTCTAATTGGACAATACAGAGACATGCAAAATAGCATTTGCCACAAAGAGGCAATTTAGAGTTTAGGGGATGAAGAAAGCCATGGGTGCATTGCTGTGGGCCCCAGCGGTGCCTTTCTAGAATGTAAAAACTGTACAGAGGTTAGGAGTTAGCTTTCGTGCTACATGATGTCCAAAGTCTCAAACTGCATCTTAAATGAGCGGAGGCCCACAGCAAGGTGGACAGAGAGGCCTGGCACATAAAATGCACAATGATAACTAGGGGTGTAATGATTCACCTGACTCACGATTCGATACGATTCACGATTTAGTCATGATTTTTTACCAAATCTATTTGAAATAAATTTAAGGTGAAGAGCCCTTTTATTTTTTCTTAAACGCTGCACATTTTTTGCTACATAATACATTTTCTGCCATAACTAAATTGCAATTTAAAAAAAATACATTAAAAAACAAAAGACAAATACAAAATAAAGAAGACTCACTAATATAAACAAACTAAAACTCTGACTGTGCTGGGATTTTACATTTTTAAAAATAAATATCAGCATATCTACATTTTCTGACATAAGCTGAGGTCTTTGCACATTTACATTGTCCCCTGCTGAAAAATCTCTTTCACTAGAGACTGAGGTGGCTGTTGTGGAGAGGAAAGCCGTTCCTGAACTACAGAGCAGAGGTGTTCAAAAGGCCATCTGATTCAGGGGACTGGCCCCTGGCATAAAACAATAACAATAATAAAAATACTAATTATTTAATAAGATAGAGAGAGGAGTTGAACATGATTATGAAGGTGAATAATTTATATTACTTGTTTAAGTATCAGTGTGATACACTTAAGAAGAGATCATCTTTAACGTTTTTAAATATTCAATAATAATAAGCAAATTATTAAAATGTGCCTAAACTAATTTGAAAAGGAGAGGGCAAAAATAATCTAAGACCTGCTTCTGTAACAGAACAACTTTCAGTCTTACTGAAATGCAGTTGAAGTAGTTTTTCACTGTGCTGACGGTTTATGTGCATCATATTTGTAGTTCTGTTAGTGAACGTAAACATCTTTTCGCAGTATTGGCACACAGTTTGTGTTTTGTCTGGCGCACCTCACTTTTTACTCTGCTACCCTACCTCTTGCTTGCCACTGATGTGCAGGTAAAGCGAGTTTGTGCCTGTACACACAGCGCCCCCTCTGTTCAAATAATTTTATCGCGGTCCATTTACCATTTTTAACGTTTTGAATTGTCAGATATTTGACTCAATTTTCAATCGGCTCACTGTGAATCGTTACATCCATAATGACAACATACAATAGTTTTAACTTAAGTATATATTTAAGTTAAGCTTAAGAATATATTTAAATGGAACACAAAGAAACAATAATCAAATATTTAATTAAATATTTTAAAAGATTAAATTATTTTTGTTATATAGCTATGGGAAGAATTTACAGAACACGTCAAAGTGGCCAGTTTCTCTGGATTTAGTAAATATAGGTTTAAAATGGTAATTTATTTTATATAAAGGTCTATGAACAGAATTCAACAAACTAAATGTGATTAATATAATATTAATAATTTTGATTTTTCCCAGTACTGGATTGCAGCTGGAAGGGCATCCACTGTATAAAACATATGCTGGATGAGTTGGTGGTTCATTCCACTGTGGCAACCCCTGATGGATAAAGGGACTAACCCGAAGGAACATTAATGAATGAATAATAATGATTATATATAATACACACTTATGTATGTATTATATATACATACATGCATGTTGATGGATTTAACAACATAAAACTGCAGAAAGTCTTTTTAACAGTCAGTAACAACAATCACAAAGACAAATAAAGAGGAATAAAATTGGTCTGCTTACTGTGGTACTAACCATCCTAGCGGATGGGGAATCTGGCCTACAGTGCCAGGTGACAGGGGGTAGTAGGGTGATATATCTGGAGGATGTGGAGGCCTTGGGATTCCTGCAAGAGAAATATAAAAAATGCAACGACTGAAAGGAGATACAGAGAACTGTATGTGTATGTGTGTGTGTGTCTGTGAATGGTGTGAAAATGTTTCTGCTCTTGTCCTGACACAGAAATTCCCCGATGAAGTTTAAGTGTTAAATTTATCCTTTGTGAGATACACAATTGAACAAAGTCAACATCAGAGGGAGGTGGGAGAGGGAGGAGGTTGAGCTCACATACACAGCTCTAAATCACACGTTCTGATCAAAGCTTGTGGAGGCAGCCACGATGTTGTATGGCACACGGGGGAGAGGAGAAAAAATACAGAGCCCTGTCACATTTGTCTATCGAATCAGAGGATTAACAACAGGCGATAATTGAGGTTCACGAGTCAACAATGCAAACGCTGCAGCACGTGTTAAGAGAGACTGACATATTAGCCGCGGATGTCTGTTTAAGTGTGAAAACTGTCTCAATATTGGTTTTAGGGTTTAACAGCCAATTAACTGTGCTATCAACATTGCACGCTCTTAAAAAACTAGCCAAAGTAAATCACACAAAACATGTCTTTCAAATATGACCTGGTTGGTTTACATGACCTAGAACAAGTTAGCATTGAACACTTTCCAACTTTTAAAAGACTGAATATGACAAAGCTAGATTACATTCAACTTAATTCATTCCAGTCTGCTTTTAAATTTCTTTAAATAAAATCTCAATTCATAAAAATAAAGTCCTGCTAACAGTAAACAGTGTAAATCGTCTGCATAATGCTGTTGGCTAATGCGAGCTGCGCAAGAAACGAAAAAAACAAGGCCTGCACAGCACACTGGCACTGCGTACAGCGGTCTTAATACAATTTGTTAATTAATTAAACTCTAAACTCAATTAAGTGAGCCATTAGGCAGCACATTAAACAGTCTCTGAGTCCTTAAAGAGGCCCTTAGTGATAAGGTCTGTTATGAGAGCAGAAAAAGCCCTCTCTAAAATCAGCATGCAGGTTGTTGACAGCTTTAAAGAGCAGCTGTTTGACTTTATAGTGCTGCAGAACAGCAAAATGCCTCAGCGATAATCCCATTCTAAAACACACCAGCAAATGATATCCTATCACACCTAGATTGTTTTGTTTTAAGGTACTGACAGATACAACATAGATACAAGATACAAGCCTTAAAGCCTCACTTACACTACAAGCGGCAAAACGTCTAGCTACTGTTCATTTCAATGGAGAGTGAGCGACTTCCGGTGGCCTCCATCTACGCGAGCGGCAGCAACCAGGTCGCGTGATCTGTGCCCCGACAAAGTTGAGAATCCTTCAACTTTATGCAAATGAAGAGTGACTATCTTGTGCGACAGCCAATAGGAGCACTAGTAGAGCTCACATGATCCTCGCTTAGAGGCCGATTGTATTCATGCTAGAAGCTGCGTCCCAAATCGCATACTTATGCACTATTTTACGCCATTTTGTAGTATAAATAGTGTAAGTAGTGTGTTCACATTGAAAACTCTCAAAATAATAAGAGCACTTTAATTACCCGGATGATGCACTCATTCAGCCGCTAAAATGAAGTGTGTAATGATGGACACTTCACGCACTCAACGACCGCAGGTTTGCTTACGTAGCGGAAGGGGCGGAGCGATCGGACGCACATGTTGAATAACTTTATTTATTTTGGATAGTGAAAGCAAAATTCTCCTACGAGAGTGATTATAGCGCCTCCGGATGGTAAATGCGGCAATACTCACGGCAGGTATTACTTGATAATTCAGTCGTTTATTTCACTGATTTGGCAACAGTCAAACGTCATCAGGGAAACGGTTTGAATTTCCGCTTAGTAAAAAAACATTAGTGTGCCATTTGGGACAGCACTACATACATATACTATCCTGTTGAGTGTGTAAGTGCATAAGTACATAGTGCATGAGTGCATAGTGTATAGTGTGCCATTTGGGACGCAGCTGTAGACTTACACCAAAGCCCCTTTAAGGCAAGTCACTTTACTCGGTGGCCATCTTTGAAACGCCTCTTGGGCAGTATGCTTGGGCATTCTGTTTGAATGGGGAAACATCAAATTCTCCAAAACTACTGCCCAAGCTTACAATTTAGGGCTGGGGGATTTGTCCTAAAATCAAAATCTTGATTAACTGAACATTTTAACTCGATTATGATTAATGAGCCATTATTTGTTTATTTATTTATTTATTTAAATTAATACATTCTTGCCTTGTCCATCTAAGGGCATCTCTGGTGCAAGCTTCTAATCATCGTCAATGTAGTGCAAAGAAAGGCTCAAGAATGAGTCCATCGTCCTACTTGACTAGAGTTCAGATGTGGCTGCAAAGTGGCCACAGAAGTCGAAAGCAGCCAAAGTCTTTAACAGAGCGGTGTCATGTGACACGTAGAGAAAGTAATTGAAAAAATCATCCTAGAAAATTTAGATCGATTATAGGTTCTGTATGTCGATTACTTTTCGATTAATCACCCAGTCCTATTATGATTACATTTTATATTAGGAATAACCAATAAAATTAAATAACAGCTGTCCATTTAGTTTCTAAATGTTCGTATCACACAAACTCAGATTTCAAAGCCCCTCCCCCGGAGAATCGTCATTCTATAGCAATTGCTAATTGGCTTCTGTACTAGAAGGCGGGCTTTATTTGTCATATTGACCATTACACTTTTCACCATTTAAAAGTATACGAGTGACTTGTTTTGTGTATTCTATAGTCTTTGCCTACACAGACCTGCGTTTTCAGCAGGACGCCACCCAGAGCGACATGCAGCTACAAAGTCACTGCTAGTCTGAATGAGGGATACGTTGGACTCTATTTTAACAGTTTAAACACATTTTAGTAATTAAAAGGCACCCCAATCAACTGAACTCATGAAACCTATTCGATTTATTTAGGAACTCTATTGAATGTTTTACGTTTTTCGCAAAAACTAAAATGAAACCAACCTTTTAACATGTTGTCATGAAGATGCTGTGAGTTTTTACGTTTACATGATATGATAATACAATTTTTTCAGAAAAATGCTAAAATGAATTTTGAAATGCTTCTTAAAAATGTGTGAATTTCCATTACGTTTCACACTAAACTGCTAATTCAAAATTCTTCTAAATTTTCTGCATTGGAAAAATCATGAGGCCCTACTTTAGATGTGGCTCTTAAACAGTGGCCATACAGTGTTTGTTCTGACATAATGTAACAGAGTGAAAATTTCAAATACAGAAGATATTTTTGTGTCCTTTTGCTGACAAGAAAAAATAATCGCAACATATTGATAGACCCTTATCAAGACTTCCAGAAGAGCAAAAAATTGTGTGAGACTGATGACGGCGAATAGAGAGAAATTTACTTCCAGCCCTATAGACGCTGCATTACAAAAACCTAGCATAAGCGCTAATCTGTTTTTTGTAATTCGACACAAAGATCGAAAATATTAAAAACTTTCAAGGATTTAAGATTGTGATGACCGTTAAACACATCACAACAGTCCTGTGAAAAGGGTCCATTATGTTTTATTTGTTTAATATCTGAATACATGCCATACCTATGTTTATAATGACATCATAGTGTTAATTTTAACGATATTACAACATTGCTGAAATTGCTAATGTTATCACGCTTTAGAATAAAAACAAACAGCGGTTTTGGTATCTGGCAGTTAAATAACAGAAGTCCCTGTCTACATCTCCCATGAGTCAAGTGGCTCCACAGGCTTAACCGACCCAGGTCAACAGCTCCATCTCAACATGCACACAAAAGGAGGGGCGCAACCTTGGCCCTGAGCCAAGACGACTCTGAAACGCTTCAGTGCATCTTGCCAGGTAGCTATGAATGCAGTGCTACAAGCGAGATCACACACTGTAGCCGTTAGTTAGCCAGGCCTGAAGGTTAGCCTTGGGTTTCGTCCTGCCTGTTTTGAAATTCATGAATGTAAAGGAAGACGTGCATGCATATGTACCTGTTTTGGGGTCCACGTCTGCCTGTAGATGTGGAGGGGGGTTCCCAGGCGTGAAGTGCTCATTGCTGTAGGTGATCAGAGGTGTGAGCGGGTGCACATGGTGAGGGTGCTGTACCACGGGGACCTTATTAGACTAGCAAGAAACAGAAAAAGAGAGGGAAGGGGGTGGGAAGAAGAACAAGAAGAAGAGGCTGTTAATATATGTTTGGGTTGGGGCAACACCGGCGCCTCTATTTCAACTATGCATTCATCACAAACCACAGGCCGATTCTCAGAACAATGTGGTTTGTAATTAAAAACAGTTTACATTGATTCAAACAGTCATTGGATCCGCACAGTGCTTGATTTCATTGTGTTTCACGTTTGCAACCACAGAAACCACCTAATGAACCAAATGACAGTCAATCTAAGCACACTCCCTCCTTTTTCTCTGGGTTACCCATGTCTCGTTCTCGCACCCCTTCCTCTTCCTTCAGGGTCTGCTTTTGGAAAGGGTTTGCATTATAAAAGATAAGAGAGGAGGGGTGGGAGGGAAGAGAGAAAATCCATTTCTGCATTTTGGTCAAATTGGTTTTAGCTATGTAATCTGCTCTTTGTGTTCTTAAGTGGCACAGGCCCCATTTTCAATTACCTAAGATTACAGCCGAGCTGAGGGGTGCTGAGGCATAGCCTGGCATTAGTGTATTCCCAGTACACACGACCTAACCAGATTACTCCCGTGCCATAGATTTGACGGGCCACACGTGGGCTGGGATTTGCTACCGTAGACGCAAACTGATATGAAACCATCGTTTAAATGCATGCAGGTTTTGACCTGTCTACGCGATTGACAGCAGTGCATGTCCTGCAGCACATTTGATATGGAAAGGGCACGCTGTCTTTATTTAAAACATACCGAATTAAATCCAGCACTCGAGATGTTGTAAAAAAACAAAAAAAAACAAAGGTGTTGAATGTCAGGAGTCATCCTTTTGTCAGGACTAAAATATCTGAGCTTTCAGAACGAGAGAGGCACTAGGGCCCAGGTCTGAGAGGTTGAAGTGTTCATCCAGGGCCTCTAAACTTGCAGAAAGAGGCACAGAGAGAGGCCACTTTCAGCATCGGGGGGCGTTCCGCTCTGCCATATTCCCAATGAAAGATTAATGAACTGAACAGAGCTGCTTGGGGAAAGAAAGGGGGCTCTGGGGACGTTTTCGGGGCCCCCGAGAGCAGAAAACAGTGTGGAGACAGAAAGAGAAATGGGAAAAGGAAAAAACGCAAGGCCATGGAGCAAACCCACACGAGGAGAGATAACATATAAAAATACATTCATAAAAAAAAGAAAGACCTGTCATCAGAAAAACAGACGGGGATGATGACAGCTGCCAAACACAGCTGACGAGTTTGCCATTAAGGAAACGGTGCCGCACTCCCCTCCACCCCATAACCTCCCCCTCAGTAATGATGTGAAAGAATGTTGTCAATTCTCCTTGCGCTGAAAGGCTTTAGTAGCCATTTAAATGAGTTCTTTTGTCCAGGGCCTCTCCATTGAGGGACAGCTCCAAATGGCTGTCCACTGCGGCCACATTCACCCAGAGACAAGCCAAATGATTTACATCACAGTCACTGGGCCTAACAGAACCCCTTTCAAATGCCACACATCTCCACGAATAATAGCTGGGCATCCCGTTTATCTGGCTTCTGGGGAGCGCAGCACGCTATCGAGGCTTGCTACTGTAGCGTTCCTGCCTGCTTCCCTACCTGAACAGATCAGCAAGATCCTGAGTAGAGGAAACAAAAAAAAAAAAAGAAGTACGCTGGAATGGCTGGGAATGGAAATTACTTTAACTTTTGTCGTTCACATTGGGAGAAAAGTGCAAAATGACAAGTACAAAATGCCGATCTGCATTTTAGCCTTATTTGAATACATTCGAGCATGTTTCTTTTTTGTCATGGCGTCTACTGGACAAGATATACACACACAGCAGGACAGAAATAACATGACGCAATGGATAATCACCATACCAAAACACATTCTTTAAACACTTCAGAGTACCATTCAAGTCCATTAAGTCTTCAGTCTTAAGAAAAGCTGCACAATAAATCTGGCTCTATTGACCTCGTTGCTATTGTACGACGGCTTTAGCCTGTTCCTCTAGACATGGCTAATTGTCTCTTGCAGCTCAGGGGAGTGAGGAAGACCACCTACGTATGTGCCCATGCATACAACCACATACTGTCGGACGCTAACAATCGCAGAATAAGCGTTCTTTAAAACCCTACTTCTAAACAACTCATTGAGTTTGGAGACTGACACACGGAGGTCCAGCGAGACGCACAATAAACCCACACAAGGAACACAAAGAAAATATGTGGGCGTCTTTTCTTCCCTATTATGTGCAAAGAAAGCGGGCTACTTCCTGTTTAATCGTCTGCCAATACCTCCCACCACCAACATCACGACTAGATAGAGGAAGACAGGCTGAAGGACTGATGCGCATAACCAGGTAAATAACATTAATAATAAAAAAGCAAACAAGATCTGGAGATATCCTGAGAAAACAAGCAAGTGACGCTTTGTAGATGTGTTTGAATGAAGTAAATAAAATATATATTTATATTTATAATGCATGTCAACAAGTCTGTCAGTACTCCTGCCGAGCGTGAGTAAATCTGTAGACATACGCTCCCTCCTCCAAACCAATAAGATTGACAGTTTCTGTTTGGGGTCACGACCCCTAGTGGAGGTCTCACAAAAGCCTGGCCTGTTTTAACGGAGAGGACTATTTGTCTTAGAAGTACATGTCACACTCGTTTCGATGCAGCATCTATCAGATCCTGTCCTTCACTCTCTCATTCAGAAACAATGTAATGAACACTTTTGTTTAGATGCATCTTCAGACAGTTCATCTTCAGGGCAGGGTTGATAAGCAATATTATATTGAATTACGATGAAATTTATGTCAATAACAATAAGCTCTGGACTTCTTTAATCTAATTTGATCAAAGACCTAATCACGCAGCAGAAATGTGCAACAATGGGCATTTAAAAGTGTGCTGATGTTAGAGATGTATTGAATGTTCAGCCATCAAAAATTTATGGGCTGAAACTGTTATGCCATTTAATGGACCCTCTAATTTTTGTGGCTTCAGTCATTGTTGGGATACTCTTTTAAATCTCGAAGTATTAACGACTTATATCAAAATATATATATCGTTATCGTTCAATATGGTAAATAATTATCGAGATTGTATTTTTGCCATATCGCTGAGCCCAGTTTCTAAACAATTTCTGTTCTCAGACTTCTCACACCTTTTAAGCAATAAATTCACATGATTTTGAAATTATTATTAATAACAATATGGAATTATTTTATTAATAAAACAATTTTCTAATTGTTTAAACAATATTACTACTGTTAATTAGAAAAGAAATTACAACAAAGCTGTTTTATAATAACAAAATACTTTAAAGGAAATGAAATCCTGGATAATCAATGTAGAAATATTTCATGGAAATTAAAAGTTATTTCAAATTTTTTTACATGAAATGTTTAAAATCAGAATATGTCTAGATAATAAAAATGAATTAAATTAAATAATATTAATCTGAAATAAATAATTAAAAACTACAGTTTAAAAAATACTGTTGAAGTCAGAATTACCAGCCCCCATTTATTTTTCCCCAATTTCTGTTTAACAGAGAGAATTTTTTTAACAAATTTCAGAACATAATAGTTTTAATAACTCATTTCTAATAACTGATTTATTTTATCTTTGCCATGACAGTAAATAATATTTTACTAGATATTTTTCAAGACACTTCTATACAGCTTAAGCCATTTAAAGGCTTAACTAGGTTAATTAGGTTAAATAGGCAGGTCAGAGTAAAACAAGGAGCTAATCATTTTCACCTTAAAATAAAAAATATAAACAAATAAGACTTTCTCCAGAAGAAAAAATATTTCAGACATACTGTGAAAATTTCTTTGCTCTTTTAAACATCATTTGAGAAATATTTTAAAAATAAAAAAAATGCAAAGGGGGGCTAATAATTCTGACTTCAACTGTATATATTGAATTACAATTACAATGTATTTATACCTAGCATTAAATCTTTAATCAATACAGTTCACAAGCTTGAAGGGGAATTATCGATATTTGCTCAAGCTGTTGGAGGCCTGTGGAAGAGGTTCAAGGGGGGAAAAAAAGAGGAAGACAGAGGGCCGAACAGCAGCAGGAAAAAGCTGTTGGCGCTGCATTTCCGCTTGGTGGCACCTTGCAGAGCAATTTAAAGACAAAATGTGAAGGTGGCGACCTTGTGGCCCCTGAGGGCCCGAGTGCCTCTCTCCGCTTTACGGCATGATATGATGAGTTGTCACTGGAGCTTGTGGGCTCTAATGAGCTGTAGTGGGGCAGGGGTGGGGGACACGCAGGGGGTGTGACATCCTCATGATGGATAGAGGGGCTCTCAGGCCTGCGAAATTCCAGAGCAAGCAAAAAAAAAAAACGCTGCCAAGGACTTGAACTCGAGAAGTGTACGTGCCAATGGCTCTCATCCAAGCACAGTGGACACAATGCAGAAAACATCCACGCTTGTTTATGTATGGAAATGTTGAAACGAGCAAGAAATAGATCCACGCAAGCTGTTCGTAAAGAAGAAAAAGCTCGAAATGAGACAGACGAACTTCAAAAGAATGTGGAACTATGATGATGTCACCGTCACTATAACAACCCTCATCCGCCCACTACTTACACACACACACAAATACATACAAACAAAACAAATGCCTAACTATGACTTTCTACAACATCTATCAAAATATAAATAGCAGCTTCCCTCCTCTGTTCTCAGTGCTGAAGAATGTTGTGCCAATTTTCCACTTCCTTCATATAAAAACAAATACAATATGAAATATTCAGATCTAATAGGAAGCTCAAAATTAAGACTGATTCAAACCAATTTGAAATCAGGATTATTTACACAATAATCTACACTCTATATTAAAGGAAATGCAACAATACAATTTCTGTCAAGATAATTAAAGATGAAATGACATGACAAATAGTCAACTTTAACCACACATGACACATATTTTGACTTCCTCTCAATCTCAACCACAACTTCAGACGCATTTTAAAAAACTTGATGAA